ACGGAATTTGTTAGAGACTTCGAATTTGAATTCTACTATCTTAAAATGTAATGGTTTAAAAATCTGCATAACAATATTTTTTCAAGGAATTCTAATTAAAAAATTGGAATCTTAATAAAACTTTGCTGCCCTTTTCTAATTTTTGAAAAAAATTCACAACTAAGATTTATATGGCTGTTGTTAGAGAAGTTTATTAAAAATTAATGAAAACGATTTTAGAATGAGAAAACATTGCGAAAATGTAGAAAAAATTAACGATGTAGGTATATCGATGAATCGAGTTTTTTTACATATCGAAAGTATCGAGTATGGCGAACATCGATACTTTTGCAGCTCAACTGATAGCTATTTATTAGAGCACTTAAATTCTGCTAACATACTCTAAATAAACTAACAATAAGGTACGTCACACATAAAAACTGACGCTGAGGAATAACTTTATCGAACAGGATAAGAAACGGATAGCTGGTCTGAAGAACCCACTAGTCCAATTGTATGACACATGCCACCGAAAGTAGATTGGAGAAGCTCTAGTCCATTCTTCCGATGGGAGCAATGACTGCTTCCACATATTCCCAAAGGAAGAAGCGTGCTAACGCCCACTCTAAGAATTTCCTACGAATAAGCCTAAAGGATTTCGTACGCCAAACGTTTGACAGGCTCTCAGAACTAGATATCACTGGCAGGATTTCCAACTCATCATTCTCTCAACTTCCCTACTAAAGGGTAGTCAAAAATATTACTATAGCTTCCTTTACAAGTGTAGATCGCTGTTGCCACGATATACATAGAAGAAGCAGAGCAAATATTTTATTTTTAAAATTTATTTAAAAACTTGTGATTTACGACACCAGTATTTCTACTTAATGCATAGACGCAAAATTGACAGTTTCTACTACGGAAAGAGATACATAGAATATTGGTTTGAGTTAGAAAGCAAACTGGTTGCATGCTAGATCACAATTAGTAACTTTCCTTACTGGGTCTGAGCACAATTTCACATACACTAACTGACCCCTTAAATGGCAATAAGTCGTTTCCTTCTCGCCTATTGTGGTGCTTCGTTGGCCTCGATTAATGCGATTTATTAAGTATACATAGTTGTTGAATTATGTACGTATGTAAGTTGAGTTTAAATTTAATGCTCGTAATTATGCATGGAAATATATTCAGGACTTTAATGGTTTCAAATTGGCCATGTTATGTAACCCCACACAATCGTTTAGAAAAAGACGGATCAATAATTTAATTGGGGTTTGCTGCACTTTTAATATGTGGATAATTATGTTCATATGCATATCTGGGTATAGCTAATGGGTTGAGGAAAATTATTTAAATGGCTCTCATAAATGAAGTCTTAGTAAGTACGTATTATATGTATGTATGTATGTATGTAAATAGCTTAGAGAATCTGTCTGTTTAATACATGTATTTGTTTATAATATTGGCTTATACAGTAATTCAAACAAATGACCACGTGTTGATTTTTTAAAATGTTCATAATGTTTTTCAAGCGTTTTTTTTTT